GGCTTCAGGGTTTTAGGGTTTGGGGCTGGGTCTTTCGGTTTCGCTGTGCAGGGTAGGGAGGAGTCGCACTTCGGTGCTCTCGGGATGGGGAATCACGCCAAAGCATTTCTACTGGTTGAACCCTATGAACCCTGAACCGTACAAGCAACCCCTGAACCCTACCCCTGAAACCCCTAAACCCTCAACCTGAAAAGCCCTAAAAACTACACCCCTGAACCCAAAACCCTAAATCCATACACCCTAAACCCCGGAAACCTGAACCCTAAACCCCTTAACCCAAAACCCTAAACCCCCAAACGGTTTCTGACCCTAGACCCTAAAACCCTAAACCCTAAACCCTAAACCCTAAAAACCCTAAAGCCCTAAAGCCCTATAACCCTAAACCCTGAAACCACCTCGGCAGCAGGCAGATCCGCTTTGGAGCGTACAGCGACCACGGCAGGAAGGAGGCAGGCCGCAAGACATTGGAGGACACAGGCCATTGCAGGTTAGGGTGTAGGGTTTAGGGTGTAGGGTTTAGGGTTTAGGGGTTAGCGTTTAGGGTTTAGGGTTTAGGGGCTAGCGTTGAGGGTTTAGGGGTTAGGGTTTAGTGGATGGGTTGGATCAGGCAGACAACGATGACACAAGCTGTGCAGACTGAGCCCAGAGGGTTGCGGCGCAGGATGCCGCCGCTATGCCCATCTGCAGCCTGTTACATGCTACAGAATGCGGAGAGTCATGGCCCCGGAGTGAAGACATTGCTAGCTCCAGATTGGCCATCTGTTGATGCTCATATCCTTAACCCTTCACCCCTACCGCCACAACCACCACCACCATCAACAACAACACCACCACGCCTTGCCTGCTCGACCGGCAGTTGCTCATGGAATTTTGGTCTGATTGTGATCCGGTCACGCTGTTGCCAATACTTTAAGGGAGGGGTTTTAAGGGTGGTGTGACTGTAGGGCTCTTATAAAGAAAAATCACTAACCTTGCGGCCGGCCGTCCAGACTTGCTCTACCAGGTTACTTGGGCTCCAATGAGGCCTATAAAGCTTGCGGCTCAGAGCTATCAGGAATGGTCTCTAAGGCTCAGGGAATACGCTGCAGCCTTGTGCCCAATGCCAGGATCACATCTGCCTTGGAGATGGCTTCCATGGCGGCCTGGCGGCAGATGGGGGATTTAGGGTTTAGGGTTTAGACAAAACCCTAAACCCTAAACCCCAAACCCTAAAACCTTTTAGGGTTCAGGGATTTCATGCAATTTCTTGTGTACGTGGAATCCGAGGGTTTAGGGTTCGGGCTTGCCGCGATGTTGTACTGATCTTAACGAGATTTGGGGACAAGTGCTGGTTCCATATCCGAGGTTCTAGGTAGTGTAGGGGCCTTAATAATATTACCAGTACTATTTTGGGGGGTTCCTTACTATAAGTATAGTAGACGGGGCCCCAAAACCCTGTTCTAATTATTAAGGCCCCTATATAAGACTCTGAACCCAAATCATAAATAAATCATTGGGCCCCAAACCCCTGTTCTATTATTAAGGCCCCTATATTAAGTGAGGTCTCGTAGTTTTGTTCCCAGCCTTACACCATCAGACTGAAGTTTTCAGCCACAGCTCGAGATCGCAAACTTGCAAACCCCTAGACACGGTTTAGGGTTTAGGGTTTAGGGTTTAGGGTTTAGGGTTTAGGGTTTAGGGCCCTAGAAGCAGCAAGGAAAGAAACAGACAGAAGACGGCACAGTGTGCTCTCTCTTTCTTCTGAGGCGGGGCAGCGGCATACTACCGTATGTGAATAAAACATGCGTGTATGCGAATAAATGTGTGTGCGTGTGTGTGTATGCGTATATATATATATATATAAGGGGATACTACGACTGACTATTCAGACCTCTATATTAGAGCTCCCCCTAGCACAGCGAACTCCAACACTCCAAAGCCAAACCCTGTCCGTGCGCAAAAGAAAACCCTAAACCCAAAGCCCTAAATCTCTCAGCCGGGCTCCATCCGAGGGCTATTAAAGTTTCGGGTCTAGGGGCTTGGGATTTAGGGTTTGGGGGCTTAGGGGGTTTAGGAAGGTTTTGTTGCGGGCGGTCTACGGGGCTTAGGGTTTCGGGTTTAGGAAGGTCTGGGTCTTAGGAGGGCTTGTGGCCTTTGCGGTTTAGGGTATAGGGTTTAGGGTTCCCCAGCCCAGAGGAACACCTGAAATCACTTAGTCGAGCTAGAGCTCCGAAGCTTAAACCCACAGGCCGAAAGTTTCAGACCACTGCCAGGTTTAGGGTTCAGGGTTTTATGGTTTAGGGTTTAGGGTTAGAGAGCTCAGGGCTTTGGGTTTAGGGGGCTCTCGCTAACCTACGAGGCATAGGAAGCAGCTGTTTAGCTTTTGTTTGCCCCGTCCCCAAAATCAAAAACTAAACCCCGAACCCTAAACCCTAAACCCTAAACCCTAAACCCTGTCAAAAGCAAAGCGGGGTGCATGCCTTCGATCCGTTGTAGCCCAGGGGTCCCATGTGCAGAGGATGGTCGCCTGCATGGTTCAGTTTCTGGTTTCGCGTTTAGGGTTCAAGGGTGTTTTAGGGTTTAGGGTTTTGCCTCCAGGGCTTAGCGTTTAGAGTTTAAGGGCGTTTAGGGTTTAGGGTTTTGGCTCCAGGGCTTAGCGTTACGGGTTTAAGGGCGTTTAGGGTTTAGGGTTTTGGTTGTAGGGTTGAGAGTTTAGGGTCTGGGGCTTTGGGTTCCAAGGTTTAGGGTTTTGGCTTTGGCGCAAAAGGGGGAGGAGAGAAGTTGGAGCCCTAAACCCTAAACCCTAAACCCTAAACCCTTTCAGGGGAGGATTAGGGTGTAAGGTCTGGAGTCTGGGGATTTGGGGTTTAGGATCCAGAGGTTCGGCCCTTAGGGCTCACATTTAGGGCTGCTTGGAATGGAAAAGGGGGGGAATGAGGTTTAGGAAGTTTAGGGTTATAGGGTTTAGGGTTATAGGGTTTAGGGTTTAGGGTTTTGGTTTAGGGGTTTAGGGGTTTAGAATGGTTTCGAGTTTGAGGTTTAAGGGTTCAATGTTGAGCGAGCTTCAGGCTGAGTTCAGGCCTTCGGGTCTGGATGTCAATATGCCGGGCTGGGGCAGAAACGCTGAAGTGGGTCCTTGTAGACAAAGTTAGTTTACGCTATCAAAAAAAACGGTCTGCGGTGAATACATTTGACTAAGTCACCAAAACAAACGTAGAACCTCTTCGGAAACACGTGAAAAAAGCCCCTTGGACACCCTACAAAAACTACTGCAAATTGTGACGCTAACATTCGTTTAAAAAAAACAGAGACAAGAGCCAGAACAAAAACAAAAACACAACAAAGCTTAAACCTTCAACAACAAATCGACAAGAAGAGCCCACCTACCCTAAACCCTAAACCCTAAACCCTAAACCCTAAACCCTAAACCCGACACCCCACTCGAAGCAGGCCCTTCGATCTCCACCACTCCCTTACACATTGCCCTCGTTTCGAAGACGCTGTCCGAAACCCTGAGCCCACAGCTCTACTACCTGTGGCCCAAAAAAACCTACCTTCCTTCGGGAATTACACATAGAAAACAATAATAATGAACCCCAAAAGGGTCACAGGTAGGGTTCAGGGCTAGGTAGCAGTAAGATTATTGATACTAAACTAAAAGTTCGATAGCCGTGGCCAAGAACAGAAACAAATGCAAACAAGACGATAATCTTCACAGTAACGCGGTTAAGTATCGAAACTAGTACTACGACCAGCAATAGCAGCGTCGGCGAAGGCGGAAGTGGAGAAGGAGTGCGGGAGATCTGTCCATTTCCTTCTTCACTCTCGTGTGGGTCCAGATATCCGAATTTTGTTTATTACGATTCTCTCCCTAAACCCTAAACCCTGAACCCTAAACCCTAAACCCTAAACCCTAAACCCTAAACCCTACACCCTCTACTAGAAAGCCCGGAGCCATGCAAGCCTACGGCGGTAAATCCAAGGCCCAGATGATAGACCATCAAACCCTAAAGCCTCAAAGAAGCCTTGAAAGCGAACCTTAACACCCTAACCCCGAAACAATTAATGTAGGGGCCTTAACAATTAGAATAAGGTTTTGGGGGGTTCCTTACTATATTTATAGTTTAATGGACCCCGACACCCTGTTCTAATTATTAAGGCCCCTATATAAGACTCTGAACCCAAAGCCCAAAGACACCTCAAACTCATTTTTACCAGTTTTTACCAATGAGAGGCGTGGAGCCTGGAAAGGCATCGTTGTGCCTGGGCGACTCTTGGCCACTATGATTTAGGGTTTAGGGTTTAGGGTTACACCTTTCTGGGGCTTCCCTGACATGTTTCTCGTTTGGGATCTGCGGAACATAAGGCTCAGAGAATTTCGCGGGAAGAAACAAATGGGTAGTTCTCTAAATTAGGGCCCCTTTTAGGTCCCCAATATAGTACGGCACCCTTATCAAAAGGACCCTAAAAGGGATCCTAATTTAGAGAACTACCCAAATGTCTACGGACCCTTCCGGAACTGTAGGGTTTCTTGGTTCAGTGCTTTAGGATTCTCATTTTCGGATCTGGACTATTAGGTTTAGGGTTTAGGGTTTAGGGTTTAGGCTTCAGGGTTTAGGGTTTATGTAGGGTTTAGGGAACTGTAGGGCTTTACGGTTTCGGCGGTACGAGGTTTTGGAGCTTCTGGATATTAGGGCTTGAGGGTTTAAGTGCTCGATTCTTAGGGCTTGAAGGCTTCAGGACTGTAGCCTTTGGCGCCGTGGGGCTGCAGGGCTTTCGGGTTCAGGGCGCAACCCTAAACCCTAAAGCCTAAACCCTAAACCCAAAAAATCCTAAACCCGAAACCCCAAAATCCTAAACCCTAAAATCCGAAACCCTAAACCCTAAAATCCGAAACCCTAAACCCTAACTTTGGGGCATGAGGTTCAAGATTCAGAGCTTAAGGCTTTAGGTTTGGGAGGGCTCGGGGCTTTGGGGTCTAGGAGTCTAGGGCTTTGGGTTCAGAGTTTAGGGTTTAGGGTTTAGGGTTTAGGGTTTAGGGTTTAGGGTTTAGGGTTTAGGGTTTAGGGGTGAGGGCTTAGGGTTTAGGGTTTCGGGTTTCGGGTTTAAGGGAATAGTCTTCCCTTGTCGTCCCAATATCTGCAGACTATACATAATTTTGCCCCCAAGCCACGTTAAAGAAATGTTGAGGCCCCAATTTGAGGCCCGACACCATCCTAAACCCTTGAGAAACCTATTACACCGACACTATAAAAACACAAAAAACTCTAATCTAGCCATTCACACCCCCATGCCATTATCATAGAATCCACCACCAAATCTTGTTTACGTTTGCCAAGTTCATGTGATTGTGATTCTACTATTCTTATTGGTACAAGCACCGGTCGCGGATTTTGGCCCCAACCCCCCGAAACAAACCGCACAAGGCCCTACATAACCCCATATGCTGATTATTCGGTGTGGTTGGATACTATGTATGGCTATTGCATACCAATATATACTTAGTATCCTATAGCGCACACTTCACATACTATAAGCAAACACTTACTCAACTACACCAAGATAGACTTATTCTCCTATAATCATGTATGTATGAATATGCACGTACTCTACCATAACTCTAAACATGATCAATAATACCCTAAACCCTAAACCCTAAACCCCAAACCCTAAACCCTAAACACTAAACCCCAAACCCTAAACCCCAAACCCTAAACCCCAAACCCAAACCCAAACCCTAAACTTTAAACCCCTAAACCCTGAACCTTAAACCCTGAACCCTAAACCCAATATGTGGCCCAGGGCACTGGTAGTTGCAGCAGACCGGTGCAGAGAGGCGCTCTGCGAGTTTCACCGAGGTCTCCTTAGCCGAGCTCCCCAGGCTTCACTCGAGTTTTAAAAAGGGTTCCTTTAAGGGTTCCTTTAGGGGTTCCTTAACCCTAAACCCTAGAACCTTAAGGGTCCATTAAAGGTTCCTTTAAGGGTACTAGAGGAGCTTAAAGGTCCATTAAGGGTTCCTTAGCATAAAAGGGTCCTTTAAAGGTTCCTTAGCTTAAAAAGGTTCCTTTAAGGGTTCCTTTAAAGGTTCCTCTAAGGGTCCACTAAAGGAGCTCAAAAGGGCCCTTTAAGGGTTCCTTTAAGGGTCCGTTAAAGGCGCTTAAAAAGGGTCCTTTAAGGGGTGCTTTAAGGGTCCATTAAAGGCGCTTTAACAAAAGGTCCTTTGAGTGTTCCTTTAAGGGTCCATGAAAGGCGCTTAAAAGGGTCCTTTAAGGGTCCATTAAAGGAGCTCAAAAGGGCCCTGTAAGGGTTGCTTTAAGGGATCCTGAACCCTAAACCCTAAAACCCTAAACCCCTTAAAGGGTCCATGAAAGGAACCCTTGCAGGACACCCTAAAGAAAACCTCCAAGGAACCCTTAAGAGGGTTAGAAAAGGGTTTAGGGGCTTAGGGCGTTGAGGTTTTTTGGGTTCCTTTACGGGTTCCCTTAAGCTTTGGGCAAGGGTTCAGGATTTAGCATGTTTTGAGTTGTTACAAGGGCTCCTTTAAGTTTTCCTCGAGGGCTGCTTCAAAGGTCCCTCTACAGGGTCCCTTGAAGGGTTCCTGAAAGGGGTCCTTTTAACTTCCTGGAAGGTTCCTTCCCTTTAAGGATTCTGCAGGGGTGGTTAATGTAGGGGCCTTAACAATTAGAATAGGGCTTTGGGGTCCATGATATTAAAATCATAGTAAGGAACCCCCAAGATAGTATTGAATTGGTAGCTATTTAGGCCCCTGTATTGGGGCACCAGGTGCATAGCTCAGCTTCAGGCTTTCAGGATTTAGGGGTTCAGGGGGTTGGAGGTTTTAGGGTCCCCCCAGGGTCTCGGGCTTCAAGGTGAAGGGTTAAGGGTTTAGGGTTTAGGGTCCACGGGATTCAAAGAAGGGGCCTCAATAATTAGACAAGGATGGGTTTGGTGTAGTAATGTCAGCGAAGAATATGAAGACAAAGGTAGGGAATTCCATAGTTATCATGGCCCCTAGGCCTAAACCCTAAACCCTAAGCCCTAAACCCCTAAACCCGCCCTAAACCTCTAAGTCCAATCCCGTAGATGAGGGTTTGCTCAGCAGGTCACAGGCTGCTAAATAACCTAAGTAGGGTTTAGTAATTTAGGGTTTAGGGTGTGGGGTGTGGTATCCCCAGTAGCCACTAAATAATAAGGGTACCCTTTTTCCTACTATTTGGTTTTTGTGAAAGGAACCCAAAAAGGGTACTACTGGGGAACCTCGTGTCCTAGCAAAAGCTAGGCGAAGGCTAGAAGGCAAACGGTCCAGGATTTAGGGTCGAGGATTCAAGGCTCAGGGTTTTAGGCTTTAGGGGTTTATATAGTAGGATTTAGGGTTTAGGGGTGTATATAGTAGGGTTTTGGGTTTAGGGCTTGAGGGTTTATATAGCAGGGTTTAGGGTTTAGGGGCTTATATAGTAGGGTTTAGGGTTTAGGGGTTTAGGGTTATTGTCAGGACAGGGCGTGTAAGCATGTGCGCAGCCGGCCTACATCGTGCAGTGGGGGGTACCGCGGTAGAGGCATCGAAAACAAGTCCCTCGATCTAAGGGGGACAAGACAGGGCTGCAAGATTCCAGGGTTAGGGGCTCTAGTATTACTACTGCTGCTGCTGACTACTGCTTCTTCTTCTACTACGGCTACTGGCTGCAGCCACACGACTGCTGCCACTGCTACTCGGCACCACGCCCCCGGGGCAAGAAAGCCTGGTACATGGGGCCTTAAATCCGTAGAAGAGGGTGGGTGTATCCATTACACAGCTATGACTCGGAACCCTATGGAACGCGGAATTACTCAGGAAAGCCCTTAACCTTTAACTCTAAAGCATCCTAAACCCTACACCCTAAACCCTAGTTCGTAGTTGCACCACTGTGATTGCCATTATTACAATGATTGCTAGTATTACCGTTACTACGATTTCTGCGGTTATCACTAGTACTACTATTTTTACTATAAACTAAAAACCCTAAACCCTAAACCGTAAATTACTAAACCCTATACCCTAAACCCTAAATTACTAAAACCTAAACCCTAAACCCTAAATTACTAAACCCCACACCCTAAACCGATCTCCATCCCAAACGAGCTGCCACAGCTCCCGACAGGATCGCTCCGGCGCCATTCAGGATCACTGGGAATTTGGCCTCCAAACATAGAGCAAACCCCAGATAGTTTGGGGTTTAGGGTTTAGGGTTTAGGGTTTAGGGCAAACCCCAGAAAGTTGGAACATGGATTTAGGAGGATTGGTGCTAGGACCCCTAAAACGTTACCTTAAGGCCATGAAGAGATTAATGTTCCAACTTTTTGGCTTCTGCTATAGAGCCGTCCGAACTTTAGGGTAGGGTTTTCGAACTTGTAGCTTTCGTGTTTAGGGTTTAGGGCATGAGGGTGTTAGGGTTTAGGGTTTAAGGTTTAAGGTTTAGGGTTTAGGGCAATAGGGTATTAGGGTATTCGGGCTTGGCAATGCAAGCTTGGCAATGCAGATACCGATGTCACTGACAAAAAACAGAACCCTCCGTAGTCTTGCAAAGACGCACATAAACGAGCCTCAATTTTCGACAACTCAGCACGGCAACTCCGCAGCATCCACGTGTTACTGGATACCCGACCCCAAAACTCTAAACCCCAAACCCCAAAGCAACACTTGAAAGCCCTAGACCCCAAACCCTACACTAAGCCCAAGCCCGTAAGCCCGGAAACCCGATGCATTTCCCCTAAACCCAAGGTGTCGGGGGCGCGAGGTGTTGGGTCCTACTTAAGTTTGGGCTCTGGCATTTGCTTTACATCTGCCAGTCGTAATGTAGGGGCCCGGATAATTAGAATAGGGTTTTGGGGTATATTATACTATAAATTTTTGTAAGGAACACCCAAAGATGTATAGGTAATTGTTAAGGCCTAAACCCTAAACCCTAAACCCTAAACCCTCTATATTAGGTGAACACTCTCCTCTCGCTGCTTCTGCTGAGGGATGCTTCGGGTCCAACCGCACTAAGGAAAATGTCCGAACCCACGAACCCTAAACCCTAAACCCTCAAACCCTGAACCCTAAACCCTAAACCCACAAACCCTGAACCCCAAAAAGCCCGAAGCCCACTCAGAAAAGCCTAAAGAAACCCTAAACCCGAAACGAAAGCCCCAAACTTACCCATAGGCCCCATAGTAGTTCCTTTTTGCGGGTTGTATTTAGGATCCTATTAGGAAATCCCAACAAAAGGAACTACTATGGGGCCTATGGGTGAGCCCCAAACCGGACCCCTAAACCCTAAACCCTAAGCCCTATAAACCCTAAACCGTAAACCCAGAACCCTTAACCCTAAACCGGATGGCTACTTATCCCATGGCTGCACCTCTGCCAGCATCTTAGCGGCTGCTTGGGTCGAGGAAGCTCCACCGGCAGAACGCTCCTCGTGTGCTTAGGGTTTATAAGCTTTAGGGCTTAGGGCTTAGGGCTTATAGGGCTTAGGGTTTAGGGTTTAGGGTTTAGGATTTAGGGTTTATAGGGCTTAGGGTTTAGGGTTTAGGGTTTAGGGTTTTTCGGGTTTAGGGCTTAGAGTTTATAGGGCTTAGGGCTTAGGGTTTAGGGCTTATAAGGCTTAGGGTTTATAGGCTTAGCGTTTAGGGCTTAGGGTTTATAGGGCTGAGGGTTTAGGGTTTAGGGAACCCTAAACCCTAAACCCTAAAGCCAGACTCTGTTAAAGATGGAGCTTTGGTTTGGCTCTTGTTGCATGATCCTATTATTGGAGTTCTCCCCCCAACGAAGT